TGTCTCTCTGTCAAATAAATAAAATCTTTAAAAATAAATAAATAAATAAAATAACCTACAATTTCCTGATAATTTAAGAGTTCGTTTGACAAAGGCAGAGATGGCTTCATGGGTGTGGGGTATGAACTCATAGTTGCAGAGGGACCCACTTCCAGGAGGACCCTGTGCTTGTTATAAAGCTCAGCTGCTGCTATCTTCACATTCCTAGTAATTTTATCCGTGAAGTTATGTTTTGTAAGTGAAGTCCCCTGGGACAGTGGGGCATGAACGTGAGCAGCCGCTCTGCACACACAGGTTCAGGCCTGTAGGCACAGTAGGCAACACAGAAGCCAAGCACTTGGCCTGACAGCCAGGGGCGGTACAAATGCATGCCTCAGCAGTCTGAAATGCTGTGTCCCTCGTGTGCCTGAGCCAGAACTGGGCCAGAACGCCAGTGGCCACATCAACCCCCAAAGCAACAGCAGTGACTGTGGGGGGCAGGAGTGACTTCCCCAGGCCAGCAGGGACAGGAATCTTGGTGAGAGAGCAGCTGACTCTCAGTCCCAGGATCCTGTCCCTGCAGTATCTACACAGATATTGAATTTTCTGCCTCAATTCCAAGATAATACTTGGGGACCTCTGATGGTAAACTTTGTCAATAAATTATTACAAAACAGGGAGGACACATGGATATTGCATAACAATAGAATATAATATATATTATAATTATAATAATATATTATTTTATAATATAATATTATAATATATTATAATACTTATAATATTGCATAGCATATCAGGGTGTTATTAGAATTCTTCACGGTTTATAATGTCCAGTTTTGAAAACTCCTGCAACATTGCAAAGCAAATATCCACCAGCCTAGAAATACAGATTAAATTTAAAGATCATCACATTTGATGAAAAAATAACACTATTTTCGTATGAAACTTTAAATGAGCCAATGATTAACAAAGAAGACAATTTTTAATTAAATTTTCCTTGTAATAGAAAATAAAGGAATAAAATACATAAATAGGCATTTTGGATTATAGGCAAATCATGAAACTACTTTTGGTTTCGTGCACAACCTCAGCAAGTTACAGGAAATGTCAGAGGAAATATTAAAATGTCAATGCATACATTTACATTCAACATTAAATTCAATATACAGTGTAAAGGATCTTTGTTGTGATGGAATTGTTCTGTATCTTCACTGTGGTGATGAATACATAAACTTATACATGTGATAAAATTGCATAAAACTAACTACACACCCAAATGAGTACCAGTAAATTGGTAAAATATGAATGAGATCAGTGGATTGTACCCATGTCAATTTCCTGGTTGTAACATTTACAACATCCTCAGGATGTTACCATTTGGGATAAAAGGTGCATGGGTTCTCTATTATTTCTTATAATTTGCATGTTAATCTACAGTTATCTTAAAATAAAAAGTTTAATTAAAAAATCACATTCATGAAACTAATTTGTATGAACAATGAAATCTTCATTGAAAAATTGTTCCATTAGAATCATCAGCTCCAAATGTACTAAAATTTGTATGTTAAATCAGAAATTTATCTCAATGTTGTCCCAATGTATAAAATACTCTTAATAGCCCTAGTAATAGTTGCATCAACAGAAAGATCTTCTTTAAAATTTCTCAAAAACTATCAGAAATTATTTATAATCTTGCATTAGCCAAAACAAATGATGTAACTTACAATTATATAATTGAAAATGAAATTGCTAAATGTATCAATTTTGAAGACCTAAGGAATGAATTTGCAGAAAATTAAGCCAGAAAAATTATATGATCAATCAATATACCACAATAATACAGTTTTTCTATTTATTGTATTATATATAATTGACACAAAAATGTTATTCTTTGAAATTTATAAATTTCTGTTGTTACTCATCTACCACTATTACTATTATAAGTAATAAAATATTTTTAAAGGGAAAAAATTATGTATTATTATCTTTAATAGCACTTTTTTCCCCTACATTTTGAATGAAAGGGCCCCAAATTTTCATTTTGCACAGGGCCTTATAAATTATGAAAGTCTTGGGCCATGAGGTTTGATACAAACTGATCCTAAGAATCCTTTAAGTTTTATCAAAGGGTAGATATATTGAATAGCTTATTTTTGTAGAATTGAGCTTGGAATAAATTTTTGAAAGGACTCAGAAATTGCATGCAATAACTATTCTCAGAAGTCAGCTTCTTTTTGTCGAGAGGGTTTGCCAAGATATTATTTTGCTTATTTTATTATATTATTTTATAAAAAGCCAACAAGATTCATCCATCATCAGTCCTGACATTTGAATTCTCACTTACATTACTCTGAGAGAGGGCTTCAAGGAAGTCTTTCCATTTATCAGAACTGCATTTCCAAAATATGTTTATTTTTCATTTAAGAAATATAGAATTAAGGACTATGCAAATATTTCGATTTGGATTTTCTAAAATCTAAACATCATAGTTTTGATAAAAATTCTTATACTTAGGCTCATTGGCTTCACATTTACCTGCAACGTTTCTCAGCTTGCAAATACATTGCTAGAAAATGACTAGATTGCCTAGAAACTTTGGAGTGAGCCATCAGCATTCATTCTTGGCATTTTTATATGACAGTCACACCACTGTCCCAAAAGAAATTTTTGTTTTAAAAACAACAAACCTAAAACTGATGTTTGGGATGCACATATATTAACAGTAGATTATTTCTGTTTCCTAGCGGTAGGCAAGCCTTGAAAAACATCAAGTCATTTGGGTAGTGATGAAGAAGTATCTGTGTAAATGTTCCATTACGAGGATGTTTCTCCATACTCATTCTCTAATGTTTTTCTGTACAGGTCACATTCACTTTTTATTCCACAATTGTGATGGCTCAGCCTGTTTTCTTTTTCCTCTTTGGTTCCAGAATGACTCGTGGGGAAAGCAGTATTCATATGCACTCTTCAAAGCTATGAGTCACATGCTGTGCATCGGGTATGGAGCCCAGGCCCCGGTCAGCATGTCGGACCTCTGGATTACCATGCTGAGCATGATCGTTGGGGCAACTTGCTATGCCATGTTTGTCGGCCATGCCACAGCTTTAATCCAGTCTTTGGATTCCTCCAGGCGGCAGTATCAAGAGAAGGTAATTTGTTTTGTTGCTAATATCTTCAACCAGCTAGTTTGCAAATCTAACTAATAGTGTTCAAGGTACCTAAACTATCGTTCTATCAAAAATATAATGAAATAAAACGTATAAAGCAGGAAAACGCAATCTTTGATATTTTGCGGTTTCTTCAAGATGCTTGTCATAGCTGTCATTTGTTTCCCATTTCTTTCCTGAATAGCCCTTTTTTAAAAAATCTGAATTTACATTCACAGAAAAAATAGTTATGTGTTTGAGAATACAGGAAGCTGATTTAAAGTATTACCATCGATCATGTTCTATCATATTTCAACAGGTAAAATAGTATGCAGCCTTCTCTAGTATATGTTAGGAAAATATGTTAGAGATTCAATGGAACTAGGCAGCCATTGCGCATGTCCCTCTGTGTTTCTCTGCATTATGATCATAATTTATATTAAAATCCATATGCTTTGCTGAACATATGTTTCTCTTCTATCTAGATAAGTCATCACACCCTCTAGTCTTAAAAATGCATATTAACAGCTGCTATCATGCGTTCTTATGCATGACGTGTTTAATTAAAATGATTGCTGCTCTAAACTATTCTCAAAACAGAGAGAAAAAGTAAATATATGCAATGATATATTCATTGGATTCTTTTTTCATATGCAGAGTTATTTTGTCTGGGGCTAAGCCCTGGGTAATCGGACAGTACATGTATATTTGACCAAACATCATTAACTTTCCGACAGATAAATAAGAATATTTCATAACTGAAGGAAGGATTTATAATGTAGAAATTTAGTTGTACACCTTGCCAAAGAGGATGTCTGAAAGTAATGATTAAAATAGTTCTAGAATACTTCTCCGAGTGAGTGATAACAGGCTAGACTCATAAATACCTACAAAATAGCCAAAGATTGTTTCAGTTGTTGCTTTATTCACAGAAGTTTTCAATACTATAATCACGCAATAGGAGAAAAGGAACCCAGATTCTTTATTTCCCTTGATGTAATTACACTGCCACCAACTATTGCAATGAGCAAGTTGGTATTTTATTACCAAAGTAATGAAAAGATGAACCACCAAAATTGCTTCGAGGTACATTTTAAAATAAAGCCTTCAATTAAATTAGAAAGAACAAAGCACACAGTAAGAGAGGAGACTTTATACAATGTTGACTTTGACTGAAAACTATATACTCAAAGGAATTTGGGCTCACTTTATGGGGATTTAAGATAAGACTACAAAAAGGTATATGTTTCTATTATATACTGTTTTTTCTTTTCCAGTTGACATTGCCTTTTTTAAAAAAATTTTATTATGTTATGTTAATCACCATACATTACATCATTAGTTTTGGATGTAGTGTTCCATGATTCATTGTTTGTGCATAACACCCAGTGCTCCATGCAGAACATGCCCTCCTCAGTACCCACCACCAGGCTAACCCATCCTCCCACCCCCTCCCCTCTAGAACCCTCAGTTTGTTTCTCAGAGTCCATCGTCTCTCATGGTTCGTCTACCCCTCCGATTTCCCCCCTTCATTCTTCCCCTCCTGCTATCTTCTTCTTCTTTTTTTTAACATATAATGTATTATTTGTTTCAGAGGTACAGGTCTGTGATTCAATAGTCTTACACTCTTGAATATACCATTCACAGCGCTCACCATAGCACATACCCTCTTCAATGTCCATCACCCAGCCCAACCCATCCCTCCCACAACCCCACTCCAGCAACCCTCAGTTTGTTTCCTGAGATTAAGAATTCCTCATATCAGTGAGTCCATATGATACATGTCTTTCTCTGACTGACTTATTTCGCTTAGCATAATACCCTCTAGTTCCATCCATGTCATTGCAAATGGCAAGATTTCATTCCTTTTGATGGCTGCATGATATTCCATTGTGTATAT